TGAAACAGCGCAAACAGCACTAAAGTAAGTTGCTTTCCCAAGCCTTCAACAAGAAAGTGCAAGGCAACACCTCCAGGAGGAGGATCAACAGTATGATCCCAATTCTGCTACGTCAGGGATCTCCAAGAGCAGTCAACTCTAATCCAGTACAAAGATCTAATGAGATACAATGAAAATTAAAGCTTAAGTGAGACAAGAAACAAGGGTCACATTACTAACATGACTAATCTAACCAGAACTATAGTGAAATCCCAACACTTCACAGGAAAAGCTCTCTAAGAAACCACGCAATTCAAATGGAAATGTTACTCCTGATGCAGAAATTACTGGCTGCAGTCTTTGACCCATCTTACCCCCACCACCAGATGGAATACCAGAGCACCCTCCTTTTCATGAGGATCACGCTGCACTAATTGGCATCTGAGCTCACCAGTCCCTTCAATCAGACCTAGCACATTCTCTGCCAGTTTCCAATTCTTCCTGTATTTAGTTTTCCAATTTTACATGATATATTTTGCCTTTGGCATAGTAGATCACTTACCCTTCTCGTATTAGCCCTCTCTGTTTAATTACAGTTTAATGTGAATTGATCTTTACATTAATGAGCCTGTAAAGAAGATTGATTTTCTTCAAGAGACTTTTATGCTCAGTTTGGCAGCAGAGTAGTCCTATTGATTTCACTTTCCCCAGTAAATACGCTGCAGAGCATCACTGCATCCTCTGTGAATCAGCTAATCCTATTTCACACTCTTTTGCTCTGAAAATTCCTATTCTGACTTCCTTGTGCTTATTCAGAGCAAGATCATGGGGACAAAGCACCTCAAACAGCTTTGACTGCTGCTAACATGCAGCGCTCTGCCATGGGTCACTGTCCCCTTTATTCCTATAATGGCTGGAGGCTAAAAAGACTTACAGGGAAAGAAAAAAAAGTTATTTTTAAGTGTTTTATCTGTTAACTTCCTTAATTCCTAACCAGCTAAGGACATGGCACAGTGTGGTCTGTTTACCATGCATGCTTCAGAGGTCTGGTTAGCAGGCTCTCTACAGCTGTCTAACAGCCTGTGCTGTGCCTGCATGGCTGGGTGCTGACTGAATCCGTCTGGCCACCTTGGAGCCAGAGCAGAGGACAAGGATCCACCTCCATCATCCCGTGCAGACTCCAAAAGCCCTCTGGGATGCATTTACCCACGTGCAGGTAGGTGAGGCAGTGGTAGACAGGCCCCAGACTATGGGATGAGCTTCTACCTGCACAGGGGTTTGCTGGAAGCCCATAGTAACAGACCAATGCAGAGCTGATCACGGCTCAGGTCCTCCTCTTACCTGGCATGCTAGGAAGGCTAAGAGACTCTCTACCCAAGTTAGTGAGGATGTTGGATATAAATAGACTCAGTTCTGCTGAAAATAAATGGTTTCTTCAGAAGTCCCCTTCCCCACCAGATCAGGTAACAAGAGTCTTCAAGAGCCTACAGAGTTAACACACTGGAGTTGCGGCAGAACATTGGGAAGGGAAATCCTCAGCCAAGAGCACGTCAGTGAAAACATCCTGCCATCAACTCCCAAATGTCCAAGTCTAGGAACTGTAGCTAAACTACAAATGCTGTGGGAATTTCAGGCAAGGTTCTCCTCTCAGCTACTCCGATGTAATTTCGGAACAAATCCAGATTCAGTCTCTCCCCCTCCCAGCTGAATTTCCTGGCTTTTGTTTGCCTAACAGATGTTTGCATTTAATGTCTGTCTTTATTTGGTAACCCGTACTTATACTATTTTTCCCTTCTGTTCTATTAAAAGCCTTATCAAGTCCCTTATGTTTGCTCTTGTTGAGATGAACAACTTTGGCAGCATTTTCAACGTGCACAACGAACAAACTGACTCTTCAAGGAATAATTAAACTGAACTAAACTTCATGGCAGTATATTAGGGCATAGCATGTTTGATGTATACGTTATGCCTGCACCCATCTGCAGCCTGAAACATCCAAAAATTTGCAGAAAGCCTTGAGAATTCTCTCTCCAACAGGTTCCCACATGCTTACATACATATTAGCAGCCCCACGGTCCACACGCACATGAGGTCAAGCAAGTTTTGGGTGATGGAGACAGGTACAGGAAGCTTGAATGAGCGAATGAGCTTGATCACTTTGCATTAACAAAGCTTTATGGAAAATCTGAGCTTGGCAGTATGGCAGATTTCTTTCTCCCAGCACCAAAAGGAAAGTCTCTTCCCCAGTTTAAAAAAAGTAGGAGATTAAGTATCTCATTCAAAAGGGCTGTTTTGAGTGACAAATACACAACCCTTGCTTTCATAATACATTCACAGCCCTTTGGAAATACTTAACCACATGCAATATACAAAACCTACTTCAGAGGTTTGTGAGGTAAACACACTTCACACATATCTAAACACTAAAAAAAAAAGGAAATTTATTTATTTTTCTTTAGCAGTAAGAATACACTGTAACACTATATACTTAAACATAAACCAGTTTCTCAGTACACAGTCTTCATTAAGAGTCTTCACCCTGGGTTTGGTTTGGCAGCCTCCCCAGTTATTACTTCACAGATTTGAAGGCCAGAACAAACCAGTATGACCATATAATCCAAATCCTTACATCACAGAAGGCCAAAGAACTTCACCCAACCATTTGCCTATCAAGCCCATTAACCTAGAGTTGAACTAAAGGGCCATCTTTTAGGAAGCCATCCAATTGATTTAAAGACTCCCAAGAACAGAGAAAGCCTCACTTCCTCTGCAAATCATTCCAATGTGAGTTAGTCAGCAACATCGATAAAGCAGGTACTTTAAAACTTCTTTCAGATTATTTTTACCTCTGATAAAAATTAAAAGGAAATGCAGGGGGGGAAAGCGGCATTCTCTAAAACAAGCTAAACAAAGAGATCCTTCTTGCAGAGGTATGACAGCAGCATTACAAATCCCACTATTAGAGTTATTTATGTGTAGCAGCTGAGGAAAGCAATACAGATTTCTGGAAAGCGATACTAAGCAGGTCTGTTTAGAATACTGTCCTTTTATCATTTGGCTTTGTACCTTCCCCTTCCTTCTGCACCACTCTGAAATTTCAGAGGAGCTGTAAATCTACTGCCTTCCACCAGTCATTATTCCTCCTTTCCAAACCGCTCATTTCATTTCAGGAATAAAAAAACCCAAAGCTCTAGCAATTTGGTCCTTTGCCAACAGCTAAATTAATAGCAAAAATAACAACAGGGGCTTGTGAAACTTGGATCGTTTATAGACTTCGTGAGAAAGAAAAGCCGATCTGGGGGGCCTAAAACTATATCCTAGATGGTAAATGGTATGCAAGCTTTCCACCCATAAATCAGATTTCTGGAGGGTTTTTGAATCCCAGTGCGTAATACACTGGGTTATATGTGGCAGCCTGGTAAGCTCAGTTCAGGTGGCACGCAGATGGCCTCTCATGTCAGGGGATCGTGCCTTAAACAAGGGACCCTGCTCAGAGGGAGCTACTGCCCCGCTCTGCAGCCAGCAGCCCCCAGATCACGCATCCAGACTTCACATGTGGTCACGCAAGCAGGGAGAGGCTGCGGCAGGAGGCAGAAATCAAACAAGTTGGTTTCACACCAACTACATGTGACACATTTGACAGGTCTGATAACTGCTGAGACACAAGCCACCCCTCCACCGAGGAGGTGAAGTGGTTGCTTGCACATTTAACAGAGACACTTGCTAGATCCAGCACCGATGATAGCAGAGGAGCACTTTGGCTCTTCATAAGCTCTGCAGGAACACGGCATACCCAAGAACCAGATCAAAGGCACCATATCTCAAACAAAAGCTAAACTCACTTCACACCAGGAGTGAGATATGGACACCAATTTGAAGCTAAGATCCCTAAACTGAATTAACACGGTGAGGGAGTTGTTCTGCTTTGCATATTTTAACACCACCTAATGGAACAGCAGGAACAGTGCCAATTCATTTCACTCAATTCTGTCCTCGATTTAAGTAACAGGAATGTACTTTTAGCCAACAGATCAAGGTTGTCTCTGAGTAAGTTGGAGCCCTTTGAGCATGAGAGGCCAATCACCTGGTGGTATGGACATGGGCATTTTCCACTACAAGGAGAAGCAAATCCATGTCAAATGCGGACACCTGCCTGTGGGTGTACGCTGCAAGGCTACACATGCTGGAAGCCGTCACTTGAACTGCTCAAGTACTTTGCTGGAGTCCGTATTAGCTAGAACCACTTCCCCTTCCCAGGAACTTGGGAGGTACCATGCATACCTCAGCAAAATTCCTTCTCCGTGTACATTACAAGCAGACACATGCAAAAATAATTTTAGAAATCCATGCTCTTAAGCTACTAAGAAGTTTGATATTATAATGTCCTTATTCCCTTCAGCAGCGTCCCCAACCCCATATCATTGGTGGCAGATACACAAGGGCTCTCTGGTGTCTAACACTTCTGACACCTGAACTACCAAAATTAAGAACTTCAAAGCTCTGCAGATCTAGCCTTACCATCACCAATCACCCTCTCAAAGGGGAAAAAAAAAAGTTGAAAGAGACCATAAAAACAGGTCTGGAATGAGTTCCCTGAAAGATTAAGATGTGAATAGTCTCTGGCTTTAAGAGAAAAGAAGAGGTGATCAGAACAGGGCCAGGATAAAAAAAGAACAATAAAGAAAAGGTAAAACTATATACTCCTTTAATAGCACATAACATAATGGTTGGAACAAAGGCACATGAGAAAAAAAATTTTACTCAATATGCAACTAACCTGTAGAGTTTACTGACATACGTTATTACCGCTGACCATAATCATAACATTAATCAAGCCCAACCTCACACAAGTCACACAACTCCAGAAGATATTTCTTAATTAAGGTGTCAACAAGGCTGATAATGAAATCTGAAGAATCAGCAGAAGTGGGTGTGACACACGAAACTCTCTGTCAGTAGCAGCTAAACCTACCCCACAAACAGCCCAAAGTCAAAGGCTGAAAGAGGCAGCAGTGACTTACAGGTGGAGGGAGCGGATACTGGAAGCAGCGGGTCCTAGGGAGGGAATGGCAGTCAGCTCGTTGTTGTTCAGTTGCCTGTAATAAACAGAAAATAATTGTTGAAGCAAGCAGCCTACAACCAAGCATGTGAGAGCAGGGGATGGTCATGGCACTTCCTTATCCAACCCCCCTGACTCCAGGAACACTGACATTTTGGCAGAGGCCTCCATCGAGGGGTTTGTCTGGGTCTTTGACAGTCCCACCGTATCCTCCCAACCCTTTAATAAATGAGAGCCACCATAACTGGTCCCACAGTACCCTCTTTATAAAAGCAAGGCTTCTTCCCCCCCCTTCCACCCTCTCCCTCAAGCAAAGTCAAGCACCACCGAGGAGGGCACTGTGCCACAGCCCTCCATGGGCCTGAGCTTCCACAGTCATCACTGAGCACAGCCTGAGATAGGAGACCATTTGCACCCACAGCCGGGAGGCAGACAGGTCCCGCTGCCTCAGGATCATGAATTTAAATCCCTCCCCAAGCAGTAGTCCCCACTCACCCCCTCCATGCCAGGCCAGGGCACAGGGGCCCACCAGGCGGCCATGGCGGTGGGGAACAGCAGCCTCAGGCCTCCTCTCCGCACCAGGCCAAGCTCTGGAAATCCCACAAGGGCAGCCCCACAAAGCCGGCAACACACAAAAACCTGGCACTGGACACAGTAATGCCACCAAAAACAGGTGACCTGCTCCAGCCAGCCGGCTGGGGAGCACCATGCAGTCCCCCAGGGCTAATGGCAATTGCAGACAGGGCCCCGCTCCTGGAAACACTGGTACAAAAAACGTCCCCTTCAATGGCCTAATGTTTGAAGTGTTTTTCTGACTGAAAACAGATCCTTGCCATGTGACCAGCTCTTCCTTGGTTTAAAGAGCCCTTGTTTGTATGGTGAATTAGTCAATTAATTACTGTAACAGTCACTTGTCTGGCTGCTTGAAAATTACCTAATTTCTTAGCCATCTTGCCCGCTCCCCCACCACCGCATGCTGAAGCAATTAAAGCCAGGCCCCTGCCAGGCCAAGCAGGGCAGCACACGGTGGCTCCCCAGGTCCCCCAGCCGCCTCGCTGGGTCTCTCCCCACTGCCTGCCTCTGAACTGTTCCCCTTCTGCAGGGGCTCTGCAAGGGGATCTCAAAAAGAACACAACTCAGGTGTGAGAAGTGGAACATCCCATAGCAGGCAGGGGAGTGTGGCGCAACTGAGGTGTGCTAAGCTGCGGGCATGAGCTGGGGCAATCCTAAGTAAGGATTGTTTTTTTTTTTTCTTCTTTTCTTTAAAACTATTTTTGGCAGGTGGGAGAGGGCAGCAGTACATCCATCCCAGAACTTCCTTCTGACTCCTCCGAGAGCAGGCAAGATATTTGATTTCACAAAGAGTTTCAGGGACTGCTGGGATAAAAGCTTTCCTCAGTCTCGGCTCTGCCTCTGACAATATATCCATACCTTAAGACGTAAGGGAAAAAAGCCAGATGCATTGCAGTTCAGCAAGGAGCTCTACTTTACAACTAAAAGCTTGTTGTTACTCATATAGCAATGTCTAGAGCTTTCAAAGGTACAAAGCAAGACGGAAAGGGCATTAAAATGCTTATATTTGTGCCATGTTTTCATTAACATCCAACTGAGCATCTTTTGGAAAGACACGGGAGAAGAAGGATAATCAGGCCCACCCTCTGCTAGCCCAGGTCAGCTCTAGTCAAGCAGCTCCAACACCGACCGGCATCTAACAACTGGTTGAACTCTCCTCTGACATAAGCGTGATTTTCATATATCAGCCTCCTGTCAGGTCAGAAGTGGTTCTCCCACCTCATTTTCTCTCTTGGCTCACAGGCACCAGTTGCCGATGCAGAGGAGACAGCCAAGATCGGTATTTGCCTGGGATTTCCCTCTCGTCTTCCCCTTCCCCCATATGTAAAGGGAGAGGGGGAAAAAAAAAAGAGCAAAAAACCCAAAACAGAACAGCCAGGCTCAACAAATTTAAGCTTTCAGTCTCCTTTCTCCTCCCCAGCCCTCCCCTTTGATGACAGAAACCTGCTGCCTCTGGATGCTAAGGCAGAGGAGGAGGGGGGCCACCCATATAAAATATTTAACAGTCCAGTTGCCAGGCTGGTGTCAAGCTGAAATGGAGCCTGCTCAAAAATAGCACAGCTCTCCAGAGCTTTCAGTGAAAGGCACTTTAGAAAATAAAAGGTGAGTTGTTTGGTGAGGAATTTTAGCACAGCTACTGCTTCTTTGTTACAAATGAGATTGGAAAACCCCAGAGCCATGCAACCATCACCTTCATGGAGCCAATGATCCATATGACCTGAGGAAACCCCAGAAAGGACCACAGAGCCTACCCCACAGCAGCACCCTCCATCCCACCCTTTCAACCAAGGTACAAGAATGGACAGACCCCAGGTAACTTGTGATTTAAGGGAGCCACCCAAGGGGGTAAGAGAAAGCATAGGCGTCCTGAAGGAAAGCAATGTCCCACTCCAGCCCCTACCACCCGAGACTCTATCAGTGCAAAGCTACTTATTTCAGAGCACATGGGATCACAGGGTTTCATATCACTTTGAGCCACCAAATTTCATCCCACACAGACTTAAACTTTTAGGGAAAAAAAGCTTCTCAAACAAGAAAAACCACAAACCCACTGCCTAAACCCAAGGAAAGGGAAAAGCATAGAGTAAATAAAGCTATTACTTCATTACAATTTCAGTAAAGCAAAACAGAGCATCTAAGCTAAGCTATGAAGTCTAAATCTTTTGGTTTGCAGACATTTTCTCAGAAAAAAAATCAAGGGAAAACAAAAGGTTTTAAAAATCTATTGCACTAATTATTCACATACAGAAACACATACAGAGCTTTGAGCTTCATCTGTACTTCTCAGGAACCACAGGCACCATGTTTGAAGCATCATGGGAGGTTTCAGGTCTTATCAATGCATCTATTATTTGGGGCAATCTCTCTCCCCGAGGGTGACTTGGTTTGCCCAGCACAGCACACACAGCAAAACACTGACTTGTTCTCAAGACATGCCACAGCATGATGCTTATTTCATGAATGTTTGTAAAGTGCTTAAAAAAAACCTCAGAAAGGAGATGCTCTGGCAGTACAGATGTGGTTCTCTTCGTAAAATGCAGTTTATTTCAGTGGTCTGTGGTTTAGCTGTTATTCAAAAGCAACCAAGATTGGTAGATAGGGCTTTTAATAGAGCTTCTCCCTCACACTTTCCAGAGCCTGCCTTCCAGGCTCTGCTCCAGGCCTCTGCCTCCCTTCCAGTCTCCCATTTCTGACTGCTCCCCCTCCCTCCTACTCACTCCTCTGCTCTCTCCCTGTTCCCTAGCCCTGCCTTTCTGACACAGCAAGCAGCTCTTATCTGCACCATTACTTTGTGGGCTGCATTACTTACCTCCCCCAAACCCTGACATCTTTTTTTAGCAGCTTTTTCCAGCGCAAGGCTTGTCCTGCTCTCGATACACGCAGTGCTTTGCACAAGGCAGCTCCCTACCTAAGGAATCAGAAGCCATACACATTTCCCAGCCCCATGCTCCCTGAAGTCACATGCCTTCAGGCACTTCCACATATAAAAGCTATTGCTAAGCCACAATCATGTTAGGATAATTCCAAAGCCTCATGGGATCAGGGCTGCAATTCTCTTCTTTAAGCACAGAGTAATTTAAGGCTTTCCACAGTTTAAAGAAGAGTTGAGAAAACAGATCCTACAGGCAGCATTCTGCTGACCTGCATCACTTTCTCTCCCCTCCCTGACTGCTCTCTAGGATGATCAGGATGAACTGATTTCAGAGCACTGTGGTCACTCTGGATGCATAATCCTCACTTTATCGTGATCCCTAGCACGTTCCTACTATTAGTGTAAGCAGGGAAGCCAGGGGCAATCAGGCCAGGACGGAGATGCTACGTTAATCCCCATGGTCCAATCCTGCAGGCATCCATCAGGCAGAGCTCCCACTGTAGCAAACCCTTTTGCCTATTCAAGAATCACAGGATCTGGCCCTTCCACATGCCCTAGAGCCAACACTTAATGAAAACAGACAGAGGACAAGAGAAAATGCACGATAGACACAGAGCACAGTATTGTTTCTGAAAGGAAATGTTTTTTCAGTTTCCCATGAGGCATCAGTAGCTCTTCAAACAGAGCCCAAACCTCAAGTATGCCAGCGATTCAACATTCAAACACGAGCTCATTACCTCAACCCACCGCTTGCAATTTCAGTCACTTTCATTTTTCAAACCCCAAAAGTCAGAGCTCCAGGAATCACTGAATAGCTGACAAGCACAGCTCCTCTGCGAGTGGAACTGCCGCACAGTTACATGGATCAGGAGCTAGGAAATCCTGCGATTCCCCAAACAAGGTTTCTTTTACCAGCAACAGGGATCTGGCACAGCCACTCAGACCTTCACCGACTCCTCCTCTTCCCCCACCAAAGCAGAAGACAGCTCTCCTGTTTTAGCCTCTCCTAGCAGACTTCAAACAGAATTTGTTCTGGTTCCAAAAGGAGCACCAACATCTGAGAGAGGAGGAGGCACAGTTAAGTGCTTTGTTATCCACTACACTACACCTTTGTTTCCTGGGAGATTTGGGTTAGGTTGGCATCAGGTATCACAATCCAGGCTGTTCTGCCTTGCTTCAGGGTTCTCCTTTCAGCAAGGAGCTTTGTGTGTATGCTCAGGTGTGTTGGCTGAACTGCTCCCTCAGAGCATTGCACAAGACTGAGGTACGCAAACTCCAATGATTTCCAGTAACAGCTATGCTGTTTTAATTGGGATGTTGTGTTCTGCTAATTGATTAGTTTAAAAAAAAACCAAAACAGCACAGGTCCAACATGGAAAAAACCCTCCACACTAAGTCAGATCTGCTCATTCAAGTTAGGGAAGGGAAGGTACTGTCTTAGGAAACTATATACCGTTTCCTCCTAGCCCACAAGCTGCCCTGGCAAAATACAATTAAAGCCTTTGAAAGAATACTTACACTTCCTGCAGGTCCGACAGCCCTGCAAAGGCAGAAGGATCAATCTCCGTCAACTTGTTGTAGCTCAGGTTTCTGTTAAAATAAAAAAGACAGTGGGATCAGCATACTGCAGTTACTGTGCTCAGCAAAACACCGTCATCTTAATTATTCTGGATTGCACTGGGGGGCTGGTTTTGGTTTTTTTAAAAAGAGCACTTAAACATGGCAGAGCAGCACTTTTCTGCTGAACACACGAGTGAGTTTAGTGCCATGATCAAAACTTTATCTAGCTCTCCCTAAGCTTTCTCTGCTTTTGCATTAGTGTGGCTTTAATTTGTCTTTATATTACATAATTACATTTATTATTCTTCTATTGGTTATTCACAACCACAAAACTAATCACAGATGAATAGGATATTTCCTGACAAATTCAAGTCTGAACTGAAACAATCAAACCTTCTGCTAAATATTTTATAGCTATATTCACAGAGTGTTTTTATATACCACTACGTGTTACATACAATATATACACAGGTGTGTAAACATAAAATATATTCTACATTTTCTAACAAGATCATACTATTAGTATATCACTAAATATTTTTTTTAATCAGCAATTACAGCTTTCAGCCAGTCACGTAGTAGTACACACTTTGTCCTCAACAACCCCAAACAACACTTTTCCAAGCCAACAGTCCAAATCTAGATCAGATTATAGCACTTCACTGACAGAAGGCAAACAGGTTGTGCCCTACTATCCGAAAACAGCCTGGTTGGAGAGGCAGGGCAGGTTTAGGTTAGACATTAGGAAAAATTTCTTCACCAAAAGGGTTGTCAAGCACTGGAACAGGCTGCCCAGGGAAGGGGTCGAGTCCCCATCCCTCGAGGTATTTAAAAGATGGGCAGACAAGGTGCTTAGGGACATGGTTTAGTGGTGGGATTGCAGGGTTAGGTTAACAGTTGGACTTGATGATCTTAAAGGTCTTTTCCAACCTAAATGATTCTATGAGAGCAGACCTGCCTCACAGGACATCCCTGTTTGGAAATACAGCCAGAGCCCAACGTGCTTCTGGAAGGAACGCACTGCGAGGATTGCTAGGGACAGCAAACAGGCAAAATAATGCAAATAAAGCACCAACTCCAAAGAGCACAAGCAAGAGCTTTGCCATGCTCTGCTGTAGCATCGTACGGTGCAAGAGCAAAGCCTCCCCTCCAAGACACGCACTAGCAGCGCACCACACACGACAGGTCAAACCTACAGCTAGGGACTTACCAGGAGAGCGTAGATCAATTAAGACCAAGTGACTAATGATGCGGAAATTAACAAATGGCCTAATTAACATGATGTATGCAGCGTTGGCATGTTCCTGTGAGTGTGTAATCTAAAGAGGGAGGAGGCAAATTGATGGGTGGTAGCAGAAAAGCAACCACAATAAGTTGTAAGGAAATTGTGAGGGGGACCTAATTTAATTTTACCCTGCTCCACACCCTGCTCTCGGATATTATCCTGGGTAAAACTCAACCCTCCCGTCTCCTCTGCAGGGAGGTTACACCCTCTTACTGCACCTCTGAACATGACCCAAAAGATTCATGGCCTGATTTTAGATAAGCCCTCAAACATTCAGCTGCTTATTCAAACCACCAAGCCAGTCTGACTAGAAAACTGGCCAATATTCCCTGTTTTGTATATTTTGTTTTAAAGCTGGGCCCACAGAACCCAAGCAGGTCTGGAACCCAAGCAGAACCCTAAGTCCCCAAGGCACCTCCTGAACTTCTACCCACACTATGTGACCCAAGAGCTGAGGGACACAAAAAAAAGGCACCTGCCAGAAGAGCATAGATGGGGACCTCCTGGTTTAGTTGTCCATACTGATCTATGCACTTCGTGGCAACACGAAGAGAAATCTAGGCCCACAGCAAGGCTTACTAAACACCAAGACTCAAAAGACTACAAAGCTCACCAACTTTGCATGATTAGCAGGAAGCGATAAACACCTCTTTCGAGCAAAAAGCAATTATTGATCACTTGCCCTCCTACAATGCATTTATGAGAAGTCCTCAATGCTTTCCCCTGCACAAGGGAACCATTCAATACTTCACACACACGCCATTCCCCATCATTTCAGAGCAGCCAGCTCTGAAGACGGCTCCTTGCATCTTGCCCGAAGCGTTCAATTTTTTTACCAATACCTGCTGTGAAAGCCTCCTCTACAAATCAACAGCATAAGCCGGCTCTTAACGTAATCTAGACCTGAAGCTACACAGGAGTGTAAAACCTAACCAAGCATCTAGTTTTAAAATATGCTGTCCTGCAAGCCCCTACTGTCTTTTAAAACACTCAAGAGACCTTTAAATCAATACCAGCCTACAGCAGATATCCATTTCACTATGAACTCAAAGGCATTTATCTAAATAAAAGTCAAACTGCAGTTTAAACTCAGAGTGCGTTTGAAAGCCAAGTCCATATTCATAGCACAATTATGAATTAAAGTGCAATTTGCCCACAGATTACATTACTACTCTTTTTTTAAAAAAAAAAACAAACCACACAGCAAAATCAGGTTGAAGCTTGTCCCTGCCTAATGTACAGGCAAAACGAGAAAATACAACAGGTAATGTCCTATAGGCTCAACACAATAAAGCTGACACAGAAATACTAGTGACAAACTGTGAGGGGGAAACACAACCACGGTCATGACCATGCATGAATCCATCTGTTTTAATATATTTCTATGCCTTCTACTGCTGCAAATCTTTGCATTTAAGGCAGCACATTTATCCTTAAAACACTCCTCTGCAATAGGCTAAGAGGCTATTTTATGAACTGAGCACTGAGAATCACAAACTGATCATCCCTACACTTGTCAAAGGGACCAGATACCTGGCTTAGCCAACGCTCAAGCGCTAAGTGATGCTGATGCGAACTTCAGAAGTTCAAAAGCAAAAAAAGAAAGGTCTTAGTTAATTACAGGATTTCATGGCCATAGTTTTAACATCACCCAAAGCTACTTACTGATTATTGTTGCTGCCATTCGAGAAGTCTGAACAACAAAGGCATTGCACAAGTAGCTGGCTCTACAGATAGCACAACCGTATTTTTACCTATTCCAGCAACAGCCAATGGTTGCTGCAGAAATACAGGCAAACCCCCCCCAGACTTTGTATGCCAAAATCTTCAGTCCTCCCCACGCAATGCACTCCAACTGCCAGCTATCCACACCAAACACACAATACACTGCTCAAAAGTCAGTGGGGAAATGAAAGCTAAAAATACAGGGTCAGTGCAAAATAAACAGGAGACTTGAAATTAAATAGATACACCAAAATAAACAGTTTACTCAATTTCTGGGACTAGCTGTATTTTAACTTACATTAAAATGCTCAGGAATTTCTAGCCTGAAGCATTAGCAATCAAAGGATGTGTTTCCCAGAACTCTGATCCCCTCACTAGACAGTACTTGGCATGCTAGTCACAGCAATGCAAATGGGAGAAAGAATTAACGTGCTCCAATAGATAGATCATTGGGACCGGGAAACCTCCGTCTATTCCTGGCTCTCTTAATCTCCTGCTGGGTGACCGGGTCATGTCACATCACCTCTCCGGAGCTTTTGTTTCCACAGCCACCCTTTGTCTGTCCTGTCTATTTAGACTGTAAATAAAATTGAGGTAGGTATTGTCTCAGTTTGCCCGATGCTGATGAAATGAGGCCTCAATCTTGGTTGGGCTCCAGCAATGCAAATAAAGAAGGGAAATCAAAACTTGAGGTCATGGGTGCATACGATGCTTCTCCACCACAAAGCATGGGTCCCAAACATACAGCAGTGCACAAAGCGCTGCAGGGGCTGTAACATCCCCATCAGCTCAGTCCCTCCAGACCAAGCGGACCAGCAATACAGCCTGGTTGGAGATGCCAAGCTTGGTGGCACAGCTGTCCTGTCACTGAAAATGGTCACGTTTCTGCTCTCCTAGCACAGAACACGTTCCTTCTCAAGGAGCTCCTTGGTCTCGTGTCATGCAGCAGTGCAATGGCTCACACTGAGCCAACGTTTCTGCCATCAGTAGACACGCATTCTAAGATTTCTTCTTCAAAGAAAAGGAGCCCTCAAAACCCAAAGCCAAACCCCTGTCCTTTCTCACATCAGCATTCCCCTAAACCATCCGAGATCTCAGATGGTTGGCACCTCTTCAAAGCACCAGCTTATAAAGCATCATCTATAGTCTTTTATACCAGTCCCAAGAGACCATGTCTTTGGTGTGCAGGCAGCCCGTTTCCTGGCACCTGCATATGGGGTTAGCTGTGCCCAAGGGTGGGCATATCCACGCCAAAAGCAGGCTGCCCAGTGTCCTGCCTGTTCCTCTGCGTGGGCACGCACTTCTGGCAAGTTGCTCACGGTAGGATATTTTGATCCCTCCAAGACAACCGTGGAAAGAAACAAAATTCAACAACCTACATAAACCCTGGACAAGAAGAGCCTGGGCTGTAAGTTCAGGGAAGCATCCTACAAAGGTTCTACAGATAGCATGGAAGACAGAGCAAAGCCACCAACTTGAGTGGCCCCTAACGTTCAGATTGTTGGTTTGTTTTTTTTTTTTTCCTGTTAAATAGAACCTGGTCTGAGGTTCAGATTTTTTGAAAAACTATACTTTGAGTTAACGGCATGAGAAGTGCTCTGCACATTATTCATCCATTGCATACTTCAAGTCTTCCCTGTATTGGCTAATCCAACAACATAGGGTTTTTTCCCCTCCTGTCACCAAGATGTCCACGATCGGGAACTGAAAGCATATTACATCAATATGGGAAAGGACCTGTCTCTGTCTACTCATGCATCCCAGTCTCTAAATAAGAAAGCAGTGTTTGCCTTTAGTTAGCATTGTCAAAATGGCACTGTGGATCACCGAACATTGCAGAGAGTGAAAGGAAAGCCTTGTTAAATGTAACCAGGTACATAGCCTGCCTTGAAACCACCTCCCGAAGTAAAAATGCTGTCACATAAAGAGTCCTGCTTGCCAGCAAGGACGCATCAGTCAGATCTGTGAATCCCAAGATGCCAATCCTGCCTCCTTGGGCAAGGGGCGGTGGGGACCAGGA